CATCCGGAGAAATAATAGAAAAGGGGGGGGGGAATTAACAAGGGCGTCATCCAATGTGACGCTGCGTCGCGCTGGCAAAAAAAAAAAAAAGAAACGTGACAACCCAGGCACTGTGATGCGAAAGTGGCGGCGCGAGGTGAGACCGAAAGGAAATGACTGGACCCAAAACAAAGCACGAGCTAAACGGGGATGAAATATCAGAAGAAATAATAGTAATATTAGAAAAAAAACACGTTTTGAATAACGATGTTTTAACTGTGCGCGCCTGAGAGAACATGTGCGCTTCGTCCGTTACGCAGACCATCAGCTGGCGCGGCTGAAACCTCCTCCTCAACCTCTGGATTGTGGATTTGTGACAAGTGCCAGGAACCAAACTAGGAGCAGGACTACAACAGTTCCCGGGGATCGTCTTGCGCGCTCTCTCTCCCTCCTCGCTGCCCTTTTTTTTTTGGACGGGAGCTTCCTTAAACTTTTCGCCTGACAGCACACATCCCCCCGGAGCCAAGACGTTGTTCCGCGTAGACCCGGGTTGTCCCAGTCCGAGCAGCGCAGTCCGTGTGGGAAGGTCGGCACTCTGCGCCCTGCAGGCCGGAGACATGATGGTCCACTGCGCCGGGTGCGAACGGCCCATCCTGGACCGGTTCCTCCTCAACGTGCTGGACCAAGCGTGGCACGCCAAGTGCGTCCAGTGCTGCGAGTGCAACTGCGCCCTCACCGAGAAGTGCTTCTCCAGGGACGGGAAGCTCTATTGCAAAATGGACTTTTTCAGGTAACAAGAGAAGGAGAGAGAGAGTCTGGATTCAGGGTTCCTTCATATGAATCGCCACGCGTAAAGATATTTTTTTATGGATGCAGTGTTGATAGAACTATTGAAATGCATCCGGAGAAATAATAGAAAAGGACCAGCAATAATTATGTGGCCCACAATTTATATTATGTATGTGCACAGGGGTCAAAATATCAAGTCATGGGTTAAGAAAAATGTATATTATCTTGAACGTGGATAAAATGAATCAAATTAATACGTAGAATTAATGTAACAATATAACATTTATTTTGAAATGTAGGGTTTTAATTCGTCTCCAAACTTAAATATTGGTCATATGACGTGACCTTTTGATAAAGGGCTTCTATAATAAAACAACTCAAAGGTAATTTCGTAGAGCAGCCATGCATTTCTTTTCTTTTAAATATCTATTTTCAGCATCCCCACAACAGTTTTTTTCAAACACCCATTAGGCTATTAACTGGTTCACAATTCCTAAAAAAAAAAAAAAAAGCGTCTCAGGTAATTGAGTGATAAGTGAAGCCCTTGCTTGTCCCGTCGCACTCTCTTAGCATCATTTTCATTCGCGTGTGTGTCAGTTATTTTCTCCCAAATTGTCTAATGACATGTGAGGCGCATTAGCCTTTGTCCGGACGCGCTGTTATTGGCCTCGCGCGGCCTTGGCCATCATATTACGGCAGGTCCCATCAAGCGGTGGATTTAAATGGCCGGCCATTAGCCAGGCGAAACAGTAATCACCTTAATATGTCCATTTGTTGTGTAAGTAGAGTTGTGCCCTTTCGCTGAGGGGGGGAGGAGATGCATGCATGTGAAAAGAGGGACAGCGGAGCGATACCATTGCAAATGTGGAGACAAGCCTACATTAGTGTTAAAACAATGCTGCACAAAAGGAGTGCTTGCTTTCACCCAGAGGCTTAAGCCCCCCCTCCACAGGCTGACTGTAAACCCAGGTAGAGCAGGCCCACAGTGCCCCCCCAGACCTCTGCTCAAACTCCTCATATTCATAAAAGCACCGATGCAGGGGAGTCCCCAAATAACACTCAGGTGTGTTTTATTTCACCGCCCTAAAACACCTGTTCTTCCAAACCAGGAGGGGGATTTTTTTCGTAAGGGGGGGGTATTTGTGTATCAAATTGATGAGTCTTCTTCCCACTCGGTATTTAAGCGGGTGAATATGGATTAAGAGAAGATTTTCACGCTAAGATGCTCCCACTCTGCTTAATCCTGTAATATATCCGCGGCTACAATGTGTTGATTGTCACTAATGCGTTCTGCGTGGGGTTATTGTGGGAGCACCTCCATCAAAATAACGAGCACGCGGGGTTTTTAGAGAATCTTCAACAAAAAACAGAAGCTAAATCTGACTTTATATATTTTTTTTGTTATTTCCGTTTAAAGGATGCTCTCTTTTAATACTCCCTTTCATAAATATGGAGAGAGGTATATTTTCTGTTGAATGTTTATTTATTACTTAATAGGCTACTTACCGAATAGGACTGCTGTTATATGATGATAGGCTTTTACTGGAATAGGGAGAAATATAAAGCGTTTTTTAAATGTTATATTATTATTACTATGGTTATTATTTTGTGCTGATACTTTTTGGTATATTATTAGATTGGAAATAACAATATTTGAGCATTATTAGAATTAGAATTCTAAGTATTAGAACTGGAAATGTATTTATTCCTCTCAAGCTGTTATATTAATAACACATTTGTTATCTCTGAAAAAATTATATCTATATATAGATATATATCTATATCTATATATATAATTATATGATGTTGTCGTTGGTTTAAAAAACCAAACAAACATACATTTATTGTTAATTTGTCGTTTCATGCAGGCGGTTTGGCACAAAGTGCGCGGGCTGTCTGCAGGGAATCTCGCCGAACGACTTGGTGCGCAAAGCGCGCAGCAAGGTGTTCCACCTGAACTGCTTCACCTGCATGGTGTGCAACAAGCAGCTGTCCACGGGAGAGGAGCTCTACGTCATCGACGAAAACAAGTTCGTGTGCAAAGAAGATTACCCGAGCTCCGGGGCCATTAAGGAAGTCAACTTGAACTCAGGTAATCGGCGGGGATGACGAGACATTATATATATGTGTGTGTGTGTGCGTGTGTAAATATTATATAAATGCATATGAGGGACAAAAGAAAGAGGCTTCAACTGTCGGAACAGTTTCTGCAGTCCGTGGAGATCTTTTCACAACAACCTTGTCAGATGAATGCTTTCAATATTTACCTCCGCGAGACAATGGCTCTCTGTGTTATTGTACGTCGGGATCCGCTGGGGATGAGTGTGTTAGTCTGGCCGCGCTATTCATCCTCATAGCCGAGGACAGAAAGCCCACTCCCTTCCTACATATATAGAGACACTTTATTTTTTCTTGTAATAACGTGCAATTTATTTTGTCCTTGGAGTTAAAAAAATATATATTTTTGTATTATACATTTTTTTCTTAGCTTTTTAGGCATCAACTCTGCAAAAATATGAAATAATATATATTTATTTATTCGTTTTATATGATAAATTGTAACGTTTAAAAGACAGACAGAAAAATGCATGCAAATAAGTAAAACATAACTCATTATTTGGTCATATTATGGATGCATATTTTGCAGCGTTACCGCTGAGCATCTCCAGGCCTAATTATAACCCCCCCC